CAGCCAGCCAGCCAGCCAGCCAGCCAGCCAGCCAGCCAGCCAGCCAGCCAGCCAGCCAGCCAGCCAGCCAGCCAGCCAGCCAGCCAGCCAGCCAGCCAGCCAGCCAGCCAGCCAGCCAGCCAGCCAGCCAGCCAGCCAGCCAGCCAGCCAGCCAGCCAGCCAGCCAGCCAGCCAGCCAGCCAGCCAGCCAGCCAGCCAGCCAGCCAGCCAGCCAGCCAGCCAGCCAGCCAGCCAGCCAGCCAGCCAGCCAGCCAGCCAGCCAGCCAGCTAGCCAGCCAGCCAGCCAGTCAACTAACCAGACTTTCTTGTAGCTGATGTACTTATGTAATAAATTTGGAAATTGAACATCCATTTTGTCACAATTCGGTCTATTCAAATCAGCTAGTCAAGATGTAATTTAGCTCACCCTAACCCTAACCTACCTCGGTTTAAGCAGGTGAACAGTATCATTAGAAGTTAATTAAAGGTTAGAGTTTGTTACTTACTTCACGAATGTGTACAAGGTCACTGAATGAGTTTTATTATTCGATTCCATGCGGTTAGTGTGATCCTGAAACGCAAAACAGTCGTACTAAGAGGACATGTGAATCAATAAAATGAGGATTGTTTTTCTTCTAATCGAAAATTGATTTTATCTAGTAAATAAATTACAAGCTGAGAAATAATTTTATTAATTTTTCTGGATAATTTGTACATATATAGGATCATATACAACCTAGTTTTCTTCCTGAAATTATATTAGCTGGAGAATCAGTGGATGTTAGAGATATGTTGCGTCATCTTGACTCAACACTTCCTGATTAACCTCAGAAATGCATTACTATATAATGCTGATTAGTGATACGTTTCTAGATGGATATTCCAAAATTCTAATGAGAAGGCATAACCTATAGAGTTGTTCATTTGGAAGTGAAATGCATGACAGCTGAAGATCATGGTGGATAATCGCGCTATTTCATAAATTAACAGAAGCTGGACACTGTAAACCATTAAACTGCAACTCAGTGGCTGAATGTTTAAAGCATTCACCGTGAAATTTGAAGTTTCTATGTTCAGTCCCTAATCGAGTCGTGGGTGTGTACTACTAAAAAGTCGCATATGAAACAGCCGTCCAGTGCTTTGAAGTCTCCAATGGTTCTTCCACTGATGTCAGTATGTAATGAATACTACCTTAGAAGTAAAAATAAAATCCTCACCACCCTCAAAATACACTTGCCTGAAGTAGATCCAGGCTGGAAAAAGGCCCGACGTGGCCAGACTGAAACATGACACCGTGCATGAAGTCCCTGACTGTTGGTTTGAGCCATGTTGGGCTATGCAGACTAGGTGGTTGGGGTCCGCGGGACAAGAGGAACCAGTGGTTGGAGACTGTAGAAGATATGGCTGAGAACCGATGTCAGTGGCGCAGATGTATACACACATTATCTTCATCTTAAGGAGGCTATACCGAATCTCACCATTTTGTCACTCCTCTTTTCTTTCTTCTCGTACTTTATATTTCTCTTGACTGCATTCTCTTATCTTCATCCTTCACCTCACTACCTTTCTACTTGATGTACTGATATGAGGTGTGGCAACTTGGACCGTTACGCAGTAATGCCTTGTCCTATGTTGATATTGACTGATTGGTCGACACTTGAGAAAAAGCTCATCATATATAATTAACTGAAGAAGAAATTCATATAGGAGTCAAACTTGTATTTGTATTTTTAGTCTGGTAGTAGTACGTTGTAGAAACACTCCAACTTACCAGTTGTCTAAATATTTAGCAATGGTACTAGGCTTAATAAAAAATCACTCAAAATCTTGACTTACTAACTCTTATGATTCAAAGCATAGATTGGATGATATACGAGTCGAAAACAATCAAAAAATGTACAAGCGTATTTACATATGTATCATAAACACATAACAGTCTATTATAAAAAAAACAATAGGGTATAATTACATCATTAATTTAGTGCTAAAAAACCGGAATCAAGAATGCAAAGTAGTTGCCAACATTTTTCTCTTTATCAAACTCCTTGCCTTCCTCGATATTTCTACTACTGTCTTAGTTTATTACGCAACTACTTTGCATTCTTGATCCGGGTTTTTTTTAGCACTAGGTTAATGAAAAAATGATTAGTTTCGACATAACTAGCCTTTACAAGAATATACCGATTGACATGACTCTAGAGGCAGTTAAAAATGGGCATAATAATGACAGTAGGCTTACGCATCGAACTAAGGTGCTGATCTAGGGAATTATGCATGGAGTACGTTTTTTAAGTTTTATAATAAAATATATAAATAAACTGAAGGGGTTGCCATGGGATCACCAATATCCCCTATTGTCGCAGACATATCTATGGATAGTTGGGAACAGGTGGCCTTTCAAGCATTGAGTCCTACTCCAAAGGTATGCTTCCGATATTTAGATGATACCTTTAAAATACTGAAATTGAAACACATCAATAGATTCTTGGCACACATCATATCGTTGATGAATCCAATCCAGTTTACCTATGACTAAGATAGCGATGAAGTTGAGTTGACAATGTTGAATTGCAAGATTAATCGAAAGCAAGATGGATCTTTAGAGACTAATGTGTATAAAAGACTTAGACTTCAACTCATCTCATCCCATCTTAGTTAAAGTAGGCTTAGTTAAATGTCTTAGCAATAGGGCGTAACAGCATACGTATAGGCCAGAAAATCTATGACAAGTGATAAAACCCATCAAGAACATCTTGAGTCTCAATAATTATGTGTCCAAATTTACAAATGAATTCGTAAGAAATATAAACAAAAATATTAGCAGCAGCGGTAGTAATGATGGTGACAGGGTTGAGAAGGAATTCAAAGCCTCTGTTGTATTACCATATAACGAAGGCACCTCAGAAGGATTACGAAGAATTCGCAATAAGGCTAGCTGGGCATTCAAACCAACAAACTGGCTTAGAAACAAGCTTTGTGGGTCAAAAGATCCTATTGATTCAATTAAGCAAAAGAATTTGGTTTGCCAAATCCTTTACAACGACTGCCAGGTGAAATACATGGGTCAAAGTAGTCGACTGGGGTCGATTAGCTCTGTATGCGATGACACACAATCACACAGTAAGGTTGGGTAGAGCGACTGTGTTAAAAATCAACCTAGTTAGGTGAAGGAATGGAGATATTGATAACCGGATCTCTGGTTATCAAATCAACATCAAATACATGCAGTAATAGAAATGATTGTGCACCTGTCCCAGATGTATGGAAAATTCTGTTAACCTTGTCATTACAAAGAAGGAGAGAAAATTATGACCAGATAAAACTCTGTCTCGAAGTTGTGGCGTTAGTTGCCTGATATGAATATGGACAATAAATTGTGTCCGTAATGTTATCCAATAAATGCTACTGTTTCATTGTGTGATATTTCTAATAAACAGACTAAAATGAAGGATAAATTAGTATATACTGAGGAAACCATTATTACTACCGCCTGTCGTATTTCCTAGTAACCGTATAAGTGTTATTGCTATTTACTGACATACTTGTTATTCTCCGTTGTTTTGTTGGATCGAATTGTTCGACCTCTATTGGCGAATGGGCTCCTATGTGGATGCCTCGATGTTGCCTGAATGTTAATTATGACAATTTGGTTGGTTGTGGTTAGCAGAAGAATCAAGGAAGCATGTTTCGTCTTATTTGGTACTCGTCAGCTGGATATATCTGCACCCTAGTGATGTTGTTCCCACTGAGACTCGAACTTGGTATCCATCGCTTCAAACGCCAAGGCGTTATCCACTATGTCACGGAGAAACGATAGCCGCTTCTTGTACAACGGGTAGTAGTCATTACTATTTATTGACATATTTGTTATTCTCCGTTGTTTTGTTGGATCGAATTGTTTGACAATATCACTGGGGTGCAGATACATCCAGCTGATGAGTCCCAAATAGGATGAAAAGCGCGTCCTAGATTCTTCTGCAGCCATAACCAACCAAATTATCATATAGGTGTTCATAAGCAAAGTTATGAGCTACATATATTGTGCAAGGGCTTTCTGTTTAGGTGTCTCGAAATTTTGACATTTTTAACCCAATGGTTGGTAATAGTCGATCACTTAAAACAGTGGACCATAAGTACCAGATAAAGATGGACAAGCTGTCAATTAGTTATTTTATAAAGCGAGTTTATTCATGACACGGAACCATAATTTTAACTAAACTTTCTTCGGAGGCCAGCAAAACAACATTATCATTTCGCAGATGATTTAAAAATTCCGCAATCCGTATCGACATTTCTTACAGCTGAGTAGTTTTCCAACTTCCCAACTGTTGTGTCAACTAGTTTTCCACCGGAAATCACCCTATAACCAAGGTGTAATGTTTGATATAAATGTTTCATGAACCAGTGTAATATACTACTACTGAACAACTTAAGTAGTTAGAAACCAATCAGGTTGGTCTATAATCAGCCAGCCAGATCCAGGTGATCTGAACTAAGTGAATTTGTCTATGTACAGTGTTGATGAAATTGCCTCTAGGCGAACGAATAGATTGTCTAGTGTTTAAACTATTTTGATCTGGCTGCCACGCAAAATCTTCAGATTAACTTAGGTGGTTTCTGACTACTCAAGTTGTTCAAAAGTAGTATATTATCATTTTGATTTTTCCCTTTTGCTTAGCCCTTATTATTATTATTTCGGATGTTAATAAACGATTATGCAATTTCAAGTTGTATTCATTGTAGACTGACATGAGTTGGAGGAACAAAGGAAACCTAGGAGCACTGGACAGCTGTTTCGTCCTGGTATGGGACTCCTCAACAGTGCGCAACCACGACCCCACCACCAGGGATCGAACCCGCGACCTTCAGGTTCCGCGGCCAGCGCGTTACCATTGAGCTAGCCACTGGGTCAGAATCCAATGCTCCATATTTCCAACTTCTGTTAGCTCACGATATGCAATTTATTCTGTTTTGCAATTTTTTTTTATTTCTCTCCACTTTTCTGTCTTTTTTATGTATAGGGTCAAAGTGTTGACGAAGCTCTTAGCGGTCCAATGCGTAATCATTTACGTTTTTTAGTAGTTAAAGATTTACATTTATTACAACCATGGTATCATCATACAATAAGACGACGTGATGCTGAACTACGTCTAGCTAATGAAGGAAATCAAGAAGGTACATTTTTGTAAGTATGCTAACTCTTTCAAATAATTTTTTGTTGCTATGGTTAGGGTTGTTGTTGCTTTGTAATGTTATGGTGTAGTGTTATACTACTATGGTCTTCTTAAACAGTAATTTTCGTTGTAGATAGAAATTATTTTAAGAAACAATCAGGAAGTATAAGAAAGGTGGTATATTTTAGTTTAGAACTCTGAAGTACTTCATATTCATGACTTCGTATGGAATCCGTCCTAGAACTGTTATATTTTTCCGTGAAACATTCTCCTATTCATTCACGTGAGTGAAATTTAGTTGTCTTCTATGACCGAATTATTCCATTTCAAATTATGCCATATCTATCATCTAGTGTTATTTGTAAGCACTGTTCCTTATGAAAGGATTGATCGACCCCCGTAGTTATAAATTCCTATTAGAAGCTCAAGAAATTCATTTTCATGTTAGCCAGAAGTGATTATTGACTTATTAGTTGATTGTTTATAGTTTAATCAATGATTCTACATGTATGAGGACTGTTGTCGAATGAACAACGACTCATGAGAAGGAAGCAAGTTACTTGACACAATAGAGGAATTATGAAAACCTATGAGCAATCGGAAAACAATGAAATAAGTGTTAGTTGGTTGGAGGCAATCGACAGGAAGCCCTGCCTCATCTGGGTTTCCTACTTTTTGGCACTTGTCAGCAAGGCATATTTGCAACCTTGACAGAACTGATGTCCCACCTAAGATTCGTACTCACATCATCCAGTGTTGTAGTCAGCGACTTTAACCACTGAGCTATTCAGGCCGCAATTGACCTCCTGTAGTACTGGCTTACATGTATTGATTGGTCATGTGAGTGCAATCAACTTCATATTGTCTAGTTTTGAGTGCAGACCGAATTCTATCGATCATATTTACAATATGGCAACCAAGCTAGGAAGCTCAGCATCGCGGTGCACACTCCTGTGACCAATCAATACATGTAAGCCAGTACTACAGGAGGTCAACCACAGCCCGAATATTTCACTGGTAAAGTCGCTGACTACAACACTGGATGATGCGGGATCGAATCTCAGACGGGACATCAGTTCTGTCTAGGTTGCAGATATGCCTTGCTGACGAGTGCCAACAAGTAGGAAACCTGGATGAGGAAGGGCTTCCTGCCGATCGCCTCTAACCAACTAACATCTACTAGTGTGCACCACGATGCTGAGCTTCCTAGCTTGATTGCCACATTGCAAATATGATCGATAGGATTCAGTTTGTATTCAGGACTAGACAACATGAAATTGGTTGCACTCCCATGACCAATCAATACACATTGAAATAAATAATTGTGATCAAAACTCATTAGACAGAAAGGATGGTATGATATAGTAACCCAAAATAACAATGAAATTCCAGGAGAAAGAAAGAGATCAATCACGACCCGAATAGTTTAGTGGTAACTTCTCTGAATTCAACACTGGATGTGATGCAGGTTCATATTTCAATCGGGACATCGATTCCTTTGAGATCTCAGAAACACCTTGTTGACGAGTACCAACAAGTTTGAAACCTTCCATATTAGATTTGTTTATTTGATTTATAACACATAGTGAGTCATACAGTATTATTTACTTGGTGATATTTCCATCATAAATCATCATTACTCATAATCATATCAATGTAATGACACTCCACTTTCGACATTTGATTTTTATAGTTATGTCACGTCACAGGTATCTAAACTTCAAGCTGTCTTATCCAATGTCAGTTAGGACAGGTTCAGTCACACGTCTAAGTGATTGAGCTAGAAAACTGACTAGCCAATCCAAGGACCTTAACAAGGAATTGAACCACAAAAGTAGCAGTAACAGTCAATAATTATCCTCCACAGTTTATTAAGAAATTCGTACAAACACATAAGAAATGAAATAAGAACTATAACATGAGTACGAACAACAACGACAACACGATTAGAAAGGAGTTCACAGCCTTCATTGTGTTACCCTATCAGGAATGTACATCAGAAGCCTTACGTAGGATCCTCAACAAAGCTGGAATTCAGGGGACATTTAAACCTATCGACTCACTCAGAAATAAGCTTTGTCGTCTGGCTTAAGGATCCGATAGAAGGAATTAAGCAAAATAATCTAATCTATCAAATTCGATGTAATGACTGTGAGTCAGGTCAAGTACATAGGTGAAACTAGCCAATCAGGGTCAGTTAGAATTATGGAACTGAGAAATTTAGCTAAATATGTAGAGTGACGGATGCGAATGAGATTAATAATCTGGAAAAGTACTTGTCTATTGCAGTGGATGGATTAACCGACAACCACGCAATAGGGTGGGATAAAGCCACCGTACTTAAGTCCAGTATAATTAATTGGAGATAGGTTGGTTACCGAATCTTTGTTCATCGAATCATCCAACGCCCAACAGATATAATGGAAATGATGCAACACCTATACCCGAGATACAGGAAATTTTTCTACCAATCAAAGTAAAGAATATGAGGCGAGAGGAGTGGAGTGTGATTACGTTGGGATGATTATGAGTGATAATAATTTATGCTGAAACATTAACACGTAAATAATACTGTATCACTCACTGTGTGTTATAAATCAAACTGACATGTCTAATATGGAATTAAATTCTACCACAATGTCTAGGCTCTACACCTATTTTGAAGTTTGGAACCTTGGTTGGACAGAACTTCCTCTCGATTTCCTCAATCCAACTAACATCTATGAAAGAAAGATAAACCACAGTAGGTAAAAGTTAGGTCTAAGATATCTGATCACAAGGGTTTGAGAAAAACATATTAAACTTAGTAATTTTTGTTTATTTATTATCCTGAATGTTTTCTGCCTAGTGTCTGGATAATACATTTGTAAAAGCTTTACTCTTGTTTAAGTACAAAAAATTTATGTTTCATCATAAAACTAATCTTTTCCTATCATTAGTAATGACTACCTCATTCTACTGTTCCTATGAGTACAATTGTATAGCTTAAGTAAATGAAATTGTTGAAAAGAAAATTCTTTTTTTCCGTCATATTTTGAGGTGATAAAGAATATTCTTTTCAATAACTTCGGCAGATCCTACAGTTCTATATACATAATGGGGAATTATGCGTCAACAACAGTGAATGAAATTTCATCTATCAGTTTGTTAATAGTATTATGCGGTTAAGGAAGTCAATCCAAAAATTTCTTAAGTGAACTTTAATGATAGAATCAATTATTACTGGAATTTAATTCATTATGACTACTTGATTAAATTAATTTGGCAACTGCTGATTCAACACTACGGTTTTAGTGTCACAAACCTCTATCAATCTCACTCAACAACTATATAAAGACGCCACATGACAAGCAGTTCACAATCCGAAGCTCACTGATGCCTTTGAAGTGGAGACAAGGGACAAGAGTAAGATAAGGCTGTCTACTATCAGCCATGATATTCCTGATTGTGATCGATTGAACTGGATCATGCAACAAACAGTGAGGAGCTGTGGGAACAGGGATATATGCTAGCTGGATCGGGGAAAACATCCTAGGAGATTTGGATTTCACCGATGATGACTTGTGTCAAATGTCGCACTAACTTGAAGATCTATAGACAAAATCCAACAAGTCGACAGAAGAGGCAGAGTAGGGACTTCAAGTGAGTGTAGAGAAGACAGAGGTAGAGGTGATGAAGATACACAACCAGCACCAACAACAACAACAATAACAACAAGCTCCAATCACCATCAACAGGAGAAACGTGAAGGAAGTAGCCTCTTTCACCTACACAACAACTAGGCAGCATCGTTTCAACTACAGGCGTCAGTGACACAGACAAGGACATCAAAGTCAGTCGGGATCGGAAAGACAGCAAGACAGGCCTTCATTAACCTGAAACTAGTGTGGAGATCTTCTGCACTGCACTGCACTGCACTCAGCATAAAGCGTGAACAACATCCAGATTATCAACACCAATCCAGTCAAGTCAGTGCTTCCATGTGATGGCTCGAAGACTTGGGGCGTTACGATAGGCATTTCCAACAAACTACAAACATTCATCAACAACTGCCACCCACACTGACTCGTTAATCAGGCTTAGATGACCAGAGAGAATTGGTAACAAGAACTCACTCTGGTAACGAACCAACCAACAACCTATCACTCAACAAATATGGGAAGGAAGGGGAAGTGGAGATGGATTGGATTAAACATAGACTGAGAAGGTCGATTGGGGACATCACACACCAGGCCAGGCCGTCGAGTGGAACCGAAATGGGAAACGACGAGTTTGGTGTGGGAGGTGAGGGTGACATTGATGAGATGGTGTGAGGAAGAAATTAGAGGTTGTAGGGAGTCGTGGAGCCATGTTGAAAATATTTCAGAGAAGAGAGTGTAGTGGTGATGTGGTAGTGAAGTCGTATGTTCCACTAGGAACCCAAGGGACAAACAATAAAAAATAATACTGATTATCTAAGCGTCGTCGTAGATAATGCTATAGGGTGATAATTTAATTTAACAATAGGAAGGTGTTTATGAGAGCTGGATAAAATAAACTAAAGGAGATTTGGATTGGGATGAGAAGTCCTGACCAGGCAGCCAGTGTCAGAATGACCAAGCAATAGTAGCCGACCACGAAACCTTTGGTGATTGAAGTTGAATGGAGATCTGGTCAGCAATCTGACCTCATAGGTCAGTTAGTAAAACGTGGGACAGGAGACCCGATGACCACTGGTTCAAACCTGACAGCAGTCCAAATTTTCATTTCACCTTCAGTCATCAATCAGTATAAATACTAGTCGGCCAAACCACGACTATCTCAGATAGTCAAAATGATAAAAAAGATAAGTTGAGGATCAATAGCTCGATAGAGTGTTACTCATGTTAGGGGAACAAAATAGGTTGACAGAATTTGTTAGAATTATTCCAGGTTATAGGATGAATGGGGTATCAACAGTATGGGATTACATTATCTGCTGTAGGCTGATAAGGGATGTTTTCCCCCTCAGACTGAGTCATGGCAGTTTTAGCTGCAACAATTGCTTCTCTTGAACACAAAACTCAGTTTGTTTGATCCTGATGCTATTTCTTCTGTGGTTTAAAGGATTTTGAGCCGAGTACCTATTAATGCCTAAGCCAAATAGAAAAACTCTCAGTAAATCATGAAATTTAACCTGTAGAACGTAATTCATTGGATACATAAATGGATTTCAGACCCGATGCTGTACCAACTCAGCTACAAGACCCGGTGGTCGTTGGTTCGAGTTCGGCTGCGTCCAAATTTTCATTTCACTTTCAATCATCAACCAGCAGAAATACTAGTCAGCCAAAACACAACTATCTCAAGTAGTCAAAATGATATAAGCGAATGACAATTTATTTGATGGAAAATTCAACCCAAATCAACCTTGTCTGATGTAATAGCGTTTGAACTGACAAGTGATGACTTCTAGTCTCAATGGGAACATCATCACTTAGTTACACTGAACTGATGAGTCTTGAATAGAAGCAAACGTGAATCTCGGATTCCACTAATATCCACTATTCATCGTTATCAATACGTAGATATACAGACTTCAATGAAGAAAATTCATGCACAACTAACAGATACAACTAACTCCTTCTTACTACTTAATTCTAATAATTGAAAGTAATCCAACTATGTTCAAAGTTCAATACCCTCTAGATGCCAAGTACGTGTACATGTTTGACAGTAGGTTACCTTCCATGAATAACAGGTTTTCACTGTAGGATGAAAAACTCAGCTAAATCTCTAGCTCAGAGAACAATTTCCCTTGAATATCCATATGATGAGGTACAAATATCCTCAACAGTTGTTAAGATTCTTACATACAGTTAGCTGGGGATGCATAATCTGAATGTTGAATGAAGGATATGCTAGTCAAAAACTTGCTCGGCTAATAGAAGGGAGAAAAAAATTGAAATCCATTCAACAACCTCATGCGCATTCGTGGAGTGGGCAGCGGTAAATCACACCTGTTGTGTGAAGGCAAATGATACTATCTGGCTGCCAAAACCTAGGTAGAATAGAATCTGTGACTCACTGACTGAAGGTCTGCTCCTTAAGTCGATGAACTACAACTTCACAACAGATCAAAGAAGTCAGTGTTGACCTGAAGTATGAATTAGGGTGAGCGCTTATATACAGTGTGGATGTCCTTTGGGAAAACATAAAGATATTGTTATTACTATTTATTTGTCCCTTGGGCTGCTAATGGAACATAGGGCTTCAGTAGCACATCTCCATTGCACCCTGTTCTCTGCAGTCTTATGAATCTGGCTCCACGACTGGCCAAAGCATAAGGATAAGCAAATTAAAATTGGTACAACAACCAATAAGATGATGGCGTCTTTATAAGCGGTAAAATGTGATTGAAATATGTAAAGTGGGAAAAGGCGCTAAAAACGTGAATTCAAATTTTTTATCAAGTAAGGCATAAAATATTCATTTTTAGGTGTATAACATGGCTTAAATTTACTACAGTGGAATTATTCCCGTGATAATTAATCATAGTGAAATGGTTTAGATTTGACTATTCATCTCATATCGATAGATACTCAGAAATTTAGTTTCATTAAGTATTCCAACCAATAACTTGAATCATTTACTTCCTTCCCAGCTGTTATAATCCTAACGAAATTAGTTTTTTGGAACGTAAAACTATTCTCGCTGATATGTGTATACATATGTGATCGTGTATATAAGATCAATATGAAATTTATACAAATGGAATTTGGGGTTTATGAGGATTTTGAGATTTTTCAAGCTGGTATTCATCATGGCAGTACTTCTATGTGATGATTGAGAGACTTGATGAGTCACTTAAAGCATTTCCAACAAACAACTGAAGACATACATCATCAACAGCTGCCACCTACGCTCACTGGATACTAACACTGAAGATCAGATGACCGGAATAACTTTGGAACCCTGGCTAGCTAGCTGGCTGGCTGGTTGGCAACGAACCAATCAACCAACAACCTATCACTGAACAAATTTGCAGAAAAAATTGGAGATGGATTGGATTAAACATAGACTGAGAAGACAGTGTGGGGATATGACGCTCAGCCCAGACCGTCAAGTGGAACCGAAATAGGAAATGACGAGTTGGGTGTGCTAGGCGAGAGTGACATGAAGGAGATGATATGAGGAAGAAATGAAAGCTCATGGGTAGTTGTGGAGTCAGGTTGAAAAGACTGGAGAGAAGACAGTGAAATGGCGACATGGTAGGAACCCAAGGGACGAATAATAATAATAATATAAAATTCCTCATAGACTGTAGCATCGGTTTGAGGAACATTGGAAACCTGGGAGCACTGAACAACTGTTTCATCATAGTACGAGACTCCTCACCAATGCGTACCCATGACCCCCACCCTGCGACAGCGATGAAACCCAAACTTTTGAGTTTCGTGGTCAGCATATTACGACTGGGCCGTTAGGTTGGAATCCAATGGTCTATATTCCCAACACTCAATATGATTGTTGAGTATTTATCTTCACACCCACCAGATTTTCTCCACTGGTTTCAACTTCTGATTGGCACTTCAGGAATCACTTCTCGAAGCTATATACTTTTATACTTCTAAAGTTAATTGGTTATTATTTTAATTTCTATACAAAATTTGATACTTTTATTGATTTTTTTTTTCTTTCTTGATCAATATGGGAATAAATCAATAAATCAATAAATTAACATATGTGCATATATCTATCTATGTACATAAATAGAGTTCGTTATCGTAAAGAAGATGGAGTGTATGTTCTCAGTTTAACAAGTCAAAATGAACCAAAGCATTATCGTATAGAAGAACATTTAGGCAGATGGTCAATAGAAGGTGGACAATATTTTGAAACATTAATGGAAGTAAGTTGTTATTTCTTTCTTCCTGTTATCACCTTTATTTTACATTATAGAATCTTTAGAAAAATAATCTTTTCTTACATGTACAATATAATACATTTTTAATCTCTAGATTATTTCTTTCATATGGACTTTGATATGAGTTGAAAAAAAATTCATTTCTGGATAGGTACTTCTTAACAATGTGCATCTACAAATCGTTATCCCAACATATCCAATACAATCAGAGATGAAATAGAGCAGATTTCTGTCCTTGATCGATCTTGTAAGTGACCTTGAACGCACCAATGGGAAAACGGTTGTCTTTTTCTAATTTTTCAATACAATGTAAATTCCACTGACATCCATATCATATACTACTCACACTATCTTGTCCGTTTTAGGAAATACGTGCATGTTGAAAACTCAATAAATAGTGCAATACGATAATATTAAAGACAGTTTATTTTCAGTTGATCTAACTTATCATCATCACCGTCTACTAGAGATCCTCTCAACAATTCAAAGCTTGAAGCACTGGACAACTGTTTCGTCTTAGTATGGGACTCCTCAGCGGTGCACAACTTGAAATATTTCCAAATCCCCATAACTCACTCAGAATTCAATTGAACTGGTGCTTATTGGTGACTAACTTCGAGAGGTATTCCCAAAGTTCTAATGAGAAGTCGTGACCGGTGGGTGCAAAGCCTGATGGTCATGAGGACAGTTACTCAACGATGACATTGGGTGGCGATTGCGCTATATCGTCAGCTAACAGAAACTGGAAATATGGAGCATTGGATTCTGACCTAGTGGATCAATGGTAACGTGCTAGCCGCAGAACCTGAAGGTCGCGGGTTCGATCCCTGGAGGGGTGGTGGGTGCGCACTGTTGAGGAGTCCCATACTTGTGGGACGAAACAGCCTTCCAGTACATACAGGTTTCAAATGGTTCTCCAACTGATGTCACAGTTCATGATGAATTGCAACCTAAAAGTGAATAAAACGTAATGAAGTGTAAATATTTTACTCGTCACTGGTGTGCTTAGATAATAAGGTTGACATTTGTTGTCATGCTGAATCTGTGCACAAATGATTATATTATTAATCTTTATCCCTTGGGTTCCCAATGGAACAGAGGGCCTCGCAGCACCTCGCCATTACACTCTCTTCTCTGAAATATTTTCAACCTGGCTCCACGACTCCCCACAACCTCTCATTTCTTCCTCACACCATCTCATCAATGTCACCCTCACCTCCCACACCAACTCGTCGTTTCCCATTTCGGTTCCACTCGACTGCCTGGCCTGACGCGTGATGTCCCCAATCGACCTTCTCAGTGTATATCCAATCCATCTCCACTTCCCCTTCCTTCCCCATATTTGTTGAGTGATAGGTTGTTGGTTGGTTCGTTACCAGAGTGAGTTCTTGTTACCAATTCTTTCTGGTCATCTAAGCCTGATTAACGAGTCAGTGTGGGTGGCAGTTGTTGATGAATTTCTGTAATTTGTTGCAAATGCCTATCGTAACGCCCCAAGTCTTAGAGCCATCACGTGGAAGCACTGACTTGACTGGATTGGTGTTGATAATCTGGATGTTGTTCACGCTTTATGCTGAGTGTAGTGCGGTACAGTGCAGAAGATCTCCACACTAGTTTCAGGTTAATGAAGGCCTATCTTGCTATGTTTTCGATTCCGACTGACTTTGACGTCCTCGTCTGTGTCACTGACGCCTGTAGTTGAAACGATGCTGCCTAGTTGTTGGGTAGGTGGAAGAGGCTACTTCCTTCAAGTTTTTCCTATTGATGGTGATTGGAGCTTGTTGTTATTGTTGTTGTTGTTGGCGTTGGTTGTATATCTTCATCACCTCTACCTCTGTCTTTTCTACACTCACTTGACGTCACGTCTTCGCTGCCCTGCCCAGTCCCTCCTGTCAAGTTGTTGGATTTTGCCTATAGATCTTCAAGTTAGTGTGACATTAGACATAAGTCATCTGCGATGTGGTAATGTATAGTGATATAAATTCACCTATCCTCCTTTCATTCTTGTTTTAATTCTCTTGGATACCGTATCTCCTTTTAATAAGTTTGACAATTATATGTATAACGACGCTTCTTTTCTCGAAGCTTTGAGGAGAATGATTAACTGTATAAAGTTTTGGAGATTAAGAGCCTCTTTGAAGCATTTAAACAATATCATTGCATACCATAGAAGTAATGGATTCCACTTGAAAACCATTATCTATCAATACATGTTAAAAACGAAATGCCTAAGTTAAATATGTCAGTTGTGAGTAGGAGATAATAAAGGTAAACAGTTAATGATGATCTGTTATTGTTACGGCTTGCTGTAATTGAAAACATTATAGTTTGTATCTGACAGGGAGAGAGAGAGAGGGAGAGAGAGAGAGGGAGAGAGAGAGAGAGTCATTATAACATAAAACAACTGAAACTCTAGATGAGTTAGATGTTGTCAACATGATTTCAGCTACTGCATGAATATTTCAAAAGCTTATTGATTTCAATTGACTAATTTCACTTAAATGTACAAAATACTTGTTGCAATGACAGGAAACATGTATCGTTGAATCATTTTGTTCAATGATGGAATATTATTATTGATTGGAAATATTGTACACTTCTGTTGATATGTATGTAACAGTGTCAGTATAACCTTTCTTAGCATGACTATAGCGAATTCTTCAGCGTAGACAGTGTTGAGGATTCGAACTAGCTACCATCGGGTTTTCAGCTTAATGCTTTAGTAATTGAACTGTTAGACGTGACTGCTTAACAAGTTTTCATTTCACTTCAAGTATCACTTAGTATCAATTGGTCTTTTAAAGTTTTACCACTTCACATCTTTGATTTCATTGGTAGTACCATTTTTCATGTATTCGGAATCAATGGTGAATCATTCTAGTTACAGTAGGTGAATGAATAAAGGATTCAGTGGTTAACATTCTCCTCCATATAACAGTGTCAGTCTTTAGGAATTCTACTTTGTCCCAGCCTACCTAGGCTGGGACGATTGCTTCTCAAACTAGAATAGCTAAACTCTTGTGTAGATTACCCATCTAGTTAGAGTCAATCATTCTGAATTTGACAAAGTTATTCTTCTCTGTTATCCTCATAGACCGGTTTTTGATAGTATGATCTATATGCTTGACCCCTCAGTCATTGTATGTTATTGAGTAAATTAAATTATTCTGCGTTAATGGGTTGACAAAACCTTTAACCTGAAAGAGTTTGTAACTAAGTAAATTTGTAGATTTAAATGCCAGCCTTATCCTGAGCTTTTCTGATGAACTCTTCGCTTGATTTCTCATGTACCTTGTGGATACACCAACCTCTCCTAGGTAACTAGTTCACCAGTTACTAGCCGGATGAAGAGGCGAGGTTTTGCATAAAGCTAGCAATCCTGTCTTGTAAAATCACTCTAACAGCAAAAAAACTTTAGAGCCCAAAGAAAATAGAAAACATAAAACTAAGCTTATTCCTCACTGTAATCCGAGAGAAGAAATGATGCCGGTTGGTGAAAGACTTCGGGAAGCCAATTGGCCGATGTGTCTTCTCTCTCACTCTCTCAAAGGCAAAAGTGAGAATGTAGACATAGAATGTCCGCACCATATTTGAACATAGCAAGGCTGCCAAGATTGCAAAATGGATGAGAGGGTATAGCATAGAAACGCTAGGAATCTGCAAGGAATCTCCAGATGGGATGGAAGTGGACTGTCCAAACTGTCAACTGGAGAGGAGTCAATAATCAACTCCGATATTGTCACCCAGACGACAATCACGAGCAAACTGAGTTTCGGAGTGGCTATCATAATGTCCACAACAGCATCGAAGGCTCACTCTCATACAGTGGGAACCAATCTCCCCCTCCAGCATCAGGATGGATGACAGCAAGATGGATTCAACTCAAAAGAAAGGAAGGAAAGTCACAATCATACAATGCTACGTTGTGCACCTACAAATAATTAAGCAGATGAAGAGAAGAAGGTGGAATTCTGCAGACAACTGTAATCAGTACTAGACAAGACCCTACCTGAGATGGCGACATCAAAATTCACTCTAATGGGTGGTGTGACATGAATGCCGAAGTGGGAACAGGAACACAGGAAGAGAAGTGATCGTCATGGTAGAGAAGCACCCTGTGAAATGATGAATGAGAATGAGAATTGTCTGCCGACGTCTGCGCATTCAACGATTTGGTGATTGGAGTCAGGCAGTGTGTACAAACACAAGGATATTCACAAGGCAGTGACGTGGATTTGATTTCAGCAGACACCAGATGGACACACTAGAAATCCACTTCACATCGACTTCATGTGAATGTGAATAAAGTGGAGATGGAGACGCAGCCTACTGGACGCAAGATGAGATGAAGAAAGGGAGCAGATGTTGGTTCACACGACTCACTATCTAGTGCAAGGAACTCAACTTTAGAATCAAGTTGAAAGCGATGAAAGAAGTTGGTGATAGACAACCACCGTTGAAGTTTAACACTCAGAACATAAACTGAAGTGAAGGACGAAACATCATTAGACATCTTCACATGAGTCAGTCATCAGGACAAAATAGGAGACATTGAGCAACATCCTTGAAGAAACGTGTATGAAAGAATACACTGTAGCTCTTGTAAAGAGATGTGGAAGGAAGTATTGAAGAAGAAAGAAGACAAGGAATGGATGTCAACGGATACACTGAAGCTGATAGAAGAGGGAGAGGAAGATGGAGATAGTGAAGCAGGAGATGATTGAGTGCAGTTCAGTGCATTGCAGTGCATTGTATGGACGAACAACGAAAAGGGGAACTGAACACAACCTATAAAAACTACACTGGACAGGGAAGTGAATAAGAGTGCACACAAAGACACAAGACACTCTACGACACACTGGGAAGTGAAGCACAACAGGTTGAAGGTAAGAGAGACACAGACTGACAACATTATATCAAATAACCGGGTTACTATCTGTGAGGGAAGAGATCAACAGAGCACAGATGAAACCGATGGAGGATAG